TCTAAGGCAGACACCTGAGCGGCGCAGTGGGAGACTGAGAGGAAGAGGGAGAGGCCAGACCAGGGGGCCGGAAGGTGGTGTCCCAGCTGGGAACAAGAGAGGCACTGAAGCCAAACTGAATGTTCTCCAGATAGATGTCCGCTGGGCAATTTCAGACCTACGCAGGCAGGCCCCTGGTCAGCCCTGGTCCCAGGTCAGCCTGGGAAACAGAAAAAGAGCTTGGCTGTTGTGCACCTTGGCTGACTCCCCTGCCCCACTGCATGGGCTTCCCAGACCCCATGCTCTCCTGTGTGTGCAGGGCCCCATGCAAGCGGGATCTGCTTCAGCACCCGTGCACCTGGAGGAGAACACAGCGAGCTCCTGATACGAATCTGCTCCCTGGCCAGGAGGAGCCAGCCCAGCCTCCACGGGCAAGGCTCTCAGGGCAGTGCTCAAGCCCCTGGCTCCCCTCCCGGGCCCTACCCACTCTTCCAGGACATACTGAATTCCCAGCTCCAAGAGCTGACGGTTGTGTCCCCAAGCTACAGGGAAGTCCAGAAGCCAGTACGCAGTCCGGGTTGGGCCCCAAATCCTTGCACGTGGGCCAGAGCACAGATGTCAGTGCCCAGGGCTGCCCGTTGGAGTGTACACTGGATGTGCCAGTGTGTGGTTCTGCAGCCAAGGCTGTGCCCACCATCAAAGGTGACACATGGTTGTAGAAAACGTTTACTTTCAGAAGTACGCGAGTGCCTGTGAGCTGGTAGCAAGCCCAGGGGTAGATTCAGAGGGTAGCCCCCCACCGGCTGGGTCTGGATTTGTCCATACAGGTGGGCAAGGGGAGCCACCGTGGGGCCGGGTCCCTCCGGGAGCTCAGAAGCCCTGAGTCACTGTCCCGCTCTGGACTGGTGAGCTCTGTGACCTCAGTCATACAATCTCTCCGAGAATCAGCTTCCTTGTCTGTAAGATGGGGATCACGGTCTTGCCGCATTTACTCCGTTGGGCTGTAGTTAGGCTGCAAGCAGACAATGGGCATTAAAAGACTCCATATGCCAAACAGTGTCATACGAATGCCTGAGAGTCGTGGGCTGCATCCTCCCTGCGTGGGCGTGAGTGTTTGAACGCATCCAGGAAATAACGCTCAGATGTCAGAGCTTTCCTGTCTCGGGGCCCCGAGTCTCATGGAGGAAGGACCACAGGCCTTGGGGCCAGATACCTCTGTGTTCAAAGTCAGACTCTGCTAATTACTAGTTGAGTGATCTTGTGCACTTAAGCCCACCCCGTGAACCTCAGTGTCCCGTCTATCAAACGAGCAGTCAGAGTCACTTGGCCTCAGGCAAGGAACATATCCTCTCTGGGCTGTGTCCACCTGTCAAAGGAGAAAAACAGCCGGTGGCCTGCAGGCCTGTTGTGAGGATCAGGTGAAGCGGGTGTGGGAGGCGCTCGGCCCGTGGCAAATGCACAGTAATAGCCTCTGCCCGTTTCCTCGTTTCTTCTGCTGCTGCCTTTTTTGTGTCTCGGAGCCCTTTCGGGGACCAGCTTACCCTCCCACAGCCAGACCCCTCGTGGGACCAGAGCGCAGACAACTTCCATCTGCTCACCCTGCACTGGGTGGATTTCTGTATCGTTCAGCCTATGGGCCTCACCCATCTCCCTCCCAGAGAGACTGTTTAGATCAAACTCCCTTGTTCACTGATGGACTAGGAAGAGGAGAACTGGGGTCTACGGCACTTCCCTGGCCCCAGCTCTGTAACAGCGTCTACGCCGCCCCAGTTCAGGCAGATGCCTTGTGTTAATCATCTGGTGCATAAATTCTAGCTCACTCCTTGAAGCTCCACTCAGATGTCATGTTCTCCCCTTTCTTCTCTCTGCACCCATCCTCCGGCTCCCCGGTGAGTCCCAGCCCATCTCCCCTTCTTCATGACCTTCCTGCAAAGACTAGCACTGAATTTACGCTGTTCCTGTACCTGCCCACCCCCACCACCACTGCTTGCAGAGCCTCCGAGGAAGAGGCTGAATCACCCCTGTTCTCCTCTCTCCCCATCCGAGTACCTGGCATAGAGTATATGTTCAACTGTGCTTCTGTACCAAGGAAATTGCAACAGAAGGGCCCAGAGGGGACCGGGGAACAGGGAAGGTGGCAGGGAACTGTGGGTGCGCAGGTCGTGTGTGTCCTGGGAGGAGAGGAGGGGGTGTGTGTGTTTCCAGCCCACACAGAGAAAGTGGCTTCTGCCCTTGAGAGATGAACTGGCCTTCGGAAGGTGGGCCGGGCCGTGAGAAGCAGCCCGGATGAAGGGGAGAGTGTGGTGAGCGCGCCACTGCCTCCCTCCCCCC